CGACCTACCGGGTGTCGTACGGCGCGGGGTCGCGCGCGCTGATCTTCTCGGTGCGGAGCGCGCCACGCGCCGCGGAGGAGGCCGCGCACGCGACGGCGGGGCCGGAAGAGGCGCACCAGCTGTCGGCGGGCGAGCGCGCGCGCACGGTGGTGCACGTGTGCGCGTCGGGGACGCTGTGCACGTCGTCGGCGAAGCACGCCGGCGTGCCGTTCGGGTCGCACGTGGACTACGTGCTGGACGCAGAGGGGCGCCCGGTCTTCCTGCTGGCGAACAACGCCACGCACACGAAGAACCTCGGGCTGGAGACCCGCTGCTCGCTGTACTGCCAGCCGCCGTCGACGTTCGGGCAGGACGGGTGTCGCGCCACGCTCGTCGGCGGCATCTCCCCGTTGCCGGAGGAGGAGGGCGAGATGAGGGACTTATACGTCGAACGCCACGCGCATGCGGCTGACGCGCTCAAGTACCCAGACTTGTTTAGCTTCTATCGCATGGATGTGCTGGACGTGTTTTATGTCGGCGGGTATGGCGTGGTGAGCCAGTGGGTTGATGCCGCCGAGTTTTCGGAGGGGGAGCCGGACCCGCTCGCGTTTGATGCGCCCGAGATTGTGGTGGGCATTAATGAGGGGAAGGAGGAGGACCTGAAGAGGCTGTGCAAGGTGTTCTTGGAGCTGGAGGACGTAACTAGTTGTACGATGACGTCGCTGGATAGGCTTGGGTTTGATTTGAGGGTGAGGGATAAGGACTCGGTGATCAGTGAGTATCGGGTCGCGTTTCGGGAGGTGGTACAGAACCGGTTTGACGTGCAGAGCGCACTAGTCAAGGCATTCCAGGAGGCGTGGGAGAGGGAGAATGGTTACGATGAGACTTGGGTAGGGGAGGATGCTAGACCAACTGTCCTATATTACGCACCGAAGGTGCCTTCTCGCAAGTAGAGGTGGGTGAGGGAGATGAGCATGTAAAGGTTATATGTAAATGCGTGTGACAGCACAACTAAGCTCCAATACACAAGCGACCATCCGGCCGAGCGACACTCCATGACATGCATGGACATGGTCACCGGCCTTTTATTCGCGAACCATACCTGAGATCGGCGGCATTTCCCACAGTTACAGAACCCAGCGACCATATAAAGTCGACAACACGCTGTGCTATACGCTCGACACATTCTGCTGCATGTCGCACCGCCCTATTTTACACTTGTCCCCTGGCAAGGCCAGACCTCCACATGCGCAAATCGGAAAGCCCGCGGCGCGCAGCGGTCCGACCCTGCCGTCCCGGCGCTGCATCCCACGCGCACGACCGTGTCTCATGCACGCCGTGCCGCATATTTTCCTCCGCCACTAACACGATGCACCAGGCCGGGACCCATCAGCAGCCCCCCTCAACCGGCCCCCCTCAACACGCCCCCTTGCCGTCCTTCGCCACCGTCTCGACCTGCACCGTAAGGTCATGAACCACGCCATCGAAGATAGCCTCTGCCTTCTCCAGCACGGCGCGGCCATCGACCTGCTCCGCGACGACGACGCTAACGGTCGCCACGAAG